ATGCCTCCAAGTCTTGATCCTTCCCCACCTACCACATTGCCAGGAGATCTCTTTTCCAACCACGGCTTGCTTTAAGCCGTGCTTTAAAGCGAGTTTGGCCCTGCTCAGGCAGGTCCCTACGGCCGGGAACATTCCCACGGGGCGCAGCAGCACTACGCACAGCCCCAGGAGGCACTCCTCCGCCCCACGGCTCCCCACACCGCCTTCAGGGGCCTCTCTGCCCTTACAGGAGGGATGCCGGGCGCATAAAGCCATGTTCAGACTCCTCAGTGTTGGCAGGATGAGGCTCAATGTGTTTAACCTCTCAGTCTTACCTATCTGATCACACAGCCTTACCCAGCACACAGCCTCCATCCCAGCTGCTTTCCGTTCGCTGTTTTGGACACAGAGGCAAGCCTGGGGCAAGGGGAAGAGCTCTTTGCAGCCCCTATTTTTGTGCTGCTCCAACATCTGGTCCTGCGTAACCTGTCACTAAAAGCAGGGAGCCCGGGTTAGTTTGCGCCTACATTCCCACAGGGAATTCCCACCCGCGGCGGGATGAGGGGTGCAGAGCCCAGCCTCCTAACACAGGGGTGCCCTTGCCCGACACCCCGGCGAGAGGAGCCCCGACGGGGCGCGTTTCCCCGTTGTTTTTAAGGGCCTCGAAGACAGGCAGGCAGCGAGGCCCCGCCGCCAGCCTCGCCCCGTTACCAGAGGCGCTCAAGCTGGCAGCGGGGGGGGGGAAGCCCGGCCCCAGGCTCCCCTTAGGGCTCCCCACAGCCAGGCCGAGGGCGGCGCCGACCAATCAGCGTGCGCTGCGCGCCGCGGCCCGGCTCCTTAAAGGGCCATAGCGCGGCACGGCGCCAGGGCAGCCCCGCCGCCAGCGGGCCGAGCAGGGGAGGGGCGCTAGGACCGCGCGCCGCCGCTCTCCCTCCCTCCTTCCCCGCCGCGGGAGGCCGCCCGCCGCCTCCGGAGCGGGGCGTGGCTCGGTTCGGCCCCGCCCTCTCCCGGCGCTGATTGGCGGAGGAGAGCGCCCGTCGGCGGTGAGGGGGCGTGGCTTCGCTCGGGTGCGCGGCCAGCGGCGCGGCGGGCGCAGCGAGCGGCGGCGGCGGGCGCGGGGCGATGGGGGCGCGGTGGCGGCCCGCGCTCTGACAGCCCCCGGCGCTCCCTCCGCGGCGGGCACAGCGGCTCCCGGCAGCGGCGGCGGCCGCCACCCCCTGCGCGGCGCGGACCATGTTCGCCAAAGGGAAGGGCTCGGCGGTGCCCTCGGACGGGCAGGCGCGGGAGAAGTAAGAGCGGCGGCGGCGGCGGCGGGAGGAGCGGGGAAGTGTAGGGGGGGTGCGAGGTGGAAGCGGGGCGGCGGTGGAGGGTGGCTTTGTGCGGGGCGGGCTGGCGGGCGGGGGGGGGGCTCCTCCTTCCCTTTCCCGTTGCTGCCCCCCTGACGGGCGCCGCTCGGCTGTTGCAGGCTGGCGCTGTACGTCTACGAGTACCTGCTGCACGTCGGCGCCCAGAAGTCTGCGCAGACCTTCCTGTCCGAGGTGAGCCCCGCCGCCCCCCGCGCCCTTTGTGCGCCGCCGCACGCACGCCCGCCCTCCATCTTGCGCGGGGCGGCGGCGGCGCCGGGGGGTCGCCGAGCGTGGGGGCCCACGCCCACCCGTGACCACCCCTAAACCCCCCCACCCCTCTATTCCCTCCTTTCCACCCCCCCCCCCCCCCTCCAACCCGCCTTCCTCTCGCCCGCAGATCCGGTGGGAGAAGAACATCACGCTGGGCGAGCCCCCCGGCTTCCTGCACTCCTGGTGGTGGTAAGTACCAAGGGGGGACGGCGACGGGACCGTCTAAGCTGGGGGCACCGTCGGGGGTGCGCAGCCCCCGCGGTGGGGGGTGAAGCCACGGTGATAGGCGTGAGTCAGCAGCAAGCCGAGTCCCGAAGCGCCCCGGACACCCCCGGGAGCGTTGGGCTGGGAAGCGGCAGGCTGGAGCTAAAGCCTCCTGCTCGGTGGCTGGAGGGCTGCTGGACGCGCCTGGAGAGCCCAAGTTGTGTTGGGGCCTTTGGGGTGCCTGTGGTGGGTGGAGAAGCCGTTAAGGTGCTGTGGTTGTTACCCCTCGAAGGCCACTTTTTGCCTCTTAAAACACCCATCCTGGTGGCCGCAGCGCTTCCAGAGATCCAAGTGGTGCCGAGCTCGGATGCACAGCCTGAGGTCCCCTCCCATGGGCCCACCGGGGTGGGAAGCAGCTCACCTCCAATGACCCCCGGTGCCGGTGCGTGAGCCCCGATGAGTAACTGCCTGCCTGTGTTTGCCTCTCTCCACCACGCAGCGTGTTTTGGGACCTTTACTGCGCAGCTCCCGAAAGGCGAGACACTTGTGAGCATTCGAGTGAAGCGAAAGCCTTTCATGACTACGTGAGTAACAAGTTTCTAATCCTCGCGGTAATGACGGCGTTGAGGAGCTCCGGCTCCTCCGCTCACCGGGAGCCGGCATGGAACCGACCAAGGGTGGGTTTTTATGAACCGACAACGTTCTGGTTTGACTGAACAGTATTTCATAACGTTGCAATTATGTAAATTAGCCCAGATACTTATCTTAAGCACTTAAAGGCATTCGGGCTGCTGGTAGAATGAAGCGCTTTTGCATAGCAATGGACAACAAAGCGTTTGCTAGAGGGTCGATGGTGAGAGATTTCGTGCTGGGGATGCCTCAGTTGGGGTGGCGAGGAGGGTGGAGATTCCCCCAAACACTGTTGAATGCCCCACTTGGTATCTCCTTGCCTTTGGAATGGCTGGAGGCATCCGTGGTTGTCTGAGTCCCTGCTTGAGACCAGCATGGTAGAGGTGTTTGCTTGTTGAAGATGGTGTTGCAGCCCCCCCTTTGGTTGATGGTGGGCATCTCCTGCATCAGTATTTGGGGTTGTTCTCTGTAAGGTGTTAGCGTGACCCAGGGGTGGGGATCCTGGGGTTGAGGTGCCTCCCAAAGACGCACCTTTGGTGAGGGTGCATGGTATGTTGGCTCCGGTGGGTGATGGGTTGTCTGCCTGCTCCCATCCCGCACACGTCGGGAGGAATTTGCATCAAAGGATTAGTCACCTGGCTGCTTGCTTGGACCCTAGTCAAGTGAGTTTAAACCCTGTAGCAGGAGCTGGTTTTGTCTGCTCCTGGGAGCCTATGGTATGGAAACCATTTTTCCCTCCCTTCCCAAGTTTCTCGTTGCCTCGACATGCCTGGGTTGGGATGTACGAGGCTTTGCCGGCAAGTAGCGCTGGGTGAGTGCCTTGGGGTCCTCCGTGTGCTGGCACTGGATGTGGTTGTCACCCTGGGGCATGGGCAGTGCCAGGCTGCTGGAGAGCCTTGTAGCTGAGCCTTGTAGGTGGGGAGGTGTCCATCCCATTGGAGCATGTGGGAAGCGGGTCTGGCTGTTTGTTAGGTGGGGGCTGTCCATCTGTCCATCCCTCCCCATGGCTGCTCTCTGCATCGTTTGTTTTTACTGGGCTGGATTAAGATGATGAACTCCTGAACTGAGGGTCAGGGCTGACAACCAGTGCTTGGCTCACTGTGATCAGCTGCGTGCTTCTGGGTGTTTGGGGCCAGATTCTGGTCTGTTTGGGTTTTTTTTTTTGAGCTTGGCTGGGACAGGAGGCTCATCAGGAGCAAGGCAAAGGTAGATCTTTGGGTGGCAAAGCCGCAGGTGAAGACGGCATTAAAAACCAAGATGTGGTAATGTTCTGTTCACAGCAGTCTCCTCATCGTGTCTGAGGATTTAGTGTATTTAGAGAAATTAATCTTTTTTTTAGCTTGGTAATAATTCTAACAATGGGCCTGAGTGCATTAGATGATTCACATAAACTTCTTTAATACACGTTGCTTTAAGCTTACTGTAAATAGACACAGTCCCGCTTGGTTTTAATTCTCGGTGTAGCGCAGTTTTGTAACAGCCCCAAGTGCCTTTACCTTTCGGGTTTTACCACGAAGACTTGAAAGAAGATCTTCACTCCCCTTTGCCTTGGCTTGTGCCACTGGTTTGGTTTCCTGGGGCATGTTTCGCCCTCCAAGCAGGGGTTGTGCTTCTCCCTGGCGTGGCCGGTGGCGGATGCTCATGGCACAATCCCGCTGTGAGGAGCGGTGTTTTCCCAGCGCAGCGTGTGCTTTACAGGGCGAGGGACCTGCCCAGCCAAAACTTAAATATTGACCAAAGAACGCAATGATAACCAGGGCAGTGTGAATAGCGCCTTGTTTCTCACCAGTCTCCATGCTAGGGCAGGATCCTGGTATCTGTAAACACAGTGGCCAGCCTTGCAGATGGGTCCTGGAGCTGGGATGCAACCCATCAGCAATGAGTGACATCTAAAGCAGGGTCCAAGCCCCAAGTGGGGCTGGACCAGTAAGTCATGAATTGCTTTATATGGTGTTTGTGATTCAAAGTATCCCAGTACAAGTCTTGCCCCAGATTGGTAGGACATTCTATTTGCACTTGGCCAACGGTGGGCAAGCTCTTGCATAGCCAGCTTGGGTTTTGCCCAAAGTATGGTTTTATTTACCCAAAGATGATGTATTTACCATGCTCCTTGAAGGGCAAAACAGAGGGATGGTCCAGGAGCAGTGTGGTAGCACCAGGGCTTGTCATAGCCACAGGGGTGCTGGCTTGGGAGACACGTCTTCGGGAAGCGGATGGTGCGCCTTGTTAGTGGGGTGCTAACAGTGGGATTTGCATGCTGCATCACTTCCACTTCATCTCCCAGTGCAACCGTATGAAAACTATTAGGAACAGCAGGACAAATTGCCAGCTTCCCCTCCAGTTTTTAATATTTAACTGCTTGGCAAGATTAAAAGCAGAAGAAAAAATCCCACCCTTCTTTTTTGGGAGACCCTTGAAAGCCATGGGCTCTTGCAGCGGCTTAGGGATATTGGGTTTTACCTTTCCCCTGAGGTTTTTCTCTTAAGCTGGGACAAAAGGCTGCTGGGGCTTGTTGGAAAGGGGTGATGGAAGCAGGGATCCACCTGGAGCAGGCATGAGGAACAACCGTGCTTCTCTTTTCCTTCCATCTCCAGCACGGCTGCGAGTCTTAATGCAGCTGACAAGTTGAGCTGTCTGGAGGGTTATTAATCAGCTTCTCCCACCAGTATCCAAAGAGTTTATCCAAGTTAAAAACACCATCAACTCCTAAAACTCAACCCGTAGCCATTGACTTGTGCTCCTACACTGGGCAAAGCCCCATGGCGAGAGTGCCGGCGTTCCGGCACGCTCCTGGAGCCGGCGAGCTTGCAACGGGATCGCTCGGCATGACAGGGGATTTCAGCCGCGGCGTTATCTGGGAATTGGCCGATGGCTGGTCGCAGTTGAGCATTTCAACGCCATGAAAGCCAATACAATTTGAGTTAGCGGTGATGACTGCCAGTTTAAATACCGCAGTGAATTTCTGTCAAAGAGCTAATACACAGAAAGGGGAATTGCAGAAAACTTGATCACCAGAACCACTTCAGTCGATTTTGGCCTCGAGCTATAGAAAATGAACTTAAATCTAGTTGACTGTTGCTACATACTTTTTGTGGTATTGCTCTGCCTGCACGGCCAGCTCGGAGTGTCAGTGTGCAGGGGAGAAAAATCAGGGTAGCCTTTGGCTTCTGGAGACTTTGACTGCATCCTTCCCCTCCTCTGCTTTTTCCCCTGAGAAGGACCCACACTTGGGAGCACTTGAGATGCTGTTTTTGCAGTGTAAGATGTATGGAGTGGTGGCTTCAGCTTGCCATTAATGTAAAGTATTGATTTTATTGTTTTAACTTTGGAAAGCTGCTGCAGTTCTTTCTAACTTGGGTCTGGAAGGATGCTCTGCTGCAGTGGCGGTGCTCGCTGCCGCTCTGGGAGAAGGTGGTGTGCTTGGGGCTCGTGTCCTTCCATCCTGGTTGGGGACAGGCAAGGTTCTTGCGTTCCCCCCACATCTGAAACAGTTCCTCTTGGACTGAGGTCTTATTGAAGAGGTTTCTGAAGCCTCTGGAGATGGATGGACATAACATATGGGCTTGTTTGCATTAGCATGCTTGGTGGGGGATGAGATGAAACCCAGTGATCTGGAACAGTTTTGGCCTGTTGGAGGTACTGGCTGAGAGTGTCACCCAGGCGCTGGAGTTTGAACCCCAAATCCAGTCATTGCACTGCTGTAAGTGTTCTCCTAGCACGCTTTGGAGGTGAGGTGTGGAAAATGGTCCTTTTCTGATGGATGTGTCCATCGTGCCCTGGATGGATGCAGGACAGGTGCCCCATCCTGGCGTTGATGTCCCCAGGCTTCAGAGTGACATCTCCTTGTTGTCAGAGCATCTTCTGCTCCTTGGTGTCTGTGTGGCCACCTCATGATGTTGGTGGCACCTGGCAGACGAGGTGACTGTCACCTCTCCTGTACCAGGCTGTCTTCCCTCTCCAGGACCAGCAAAGGCTGTGAGACTCTTGCTGTAGGCACCCATGGCTGCATAGGGTGTGAGTGGGACCAGCAAGCGTGATGCTGGTGGTGGTCCATGAATGCTTTTGTGGTGACGGTGGTGCTCCATGAGTTCTTCTCTGGTGGTGGTGGTCCATGAGCTCTTCTGCCGTATGCCCTTTGCAGCACATGCATTAGAAACGCATTGCACAGAAGAGCAGGTGGTTTTGGGGTAGGTTTGGCACAGCGCAAGGGCAGAGGATGGGAACAGCTTTGTGTGGTCCATGGGAGCCCCCACGAATATTACCTGAGCCCTGGGCATGGCAGAACATGCAGCTTCATCCCATCTCCATGTGGGATTGCATTCCATCTGGGCTCTATCTAGCCCCGCTCTGCAGGGACAGGGCTCCCTGGTAGATAACCGAAGAGAGGAGTTTTCCTTCGGGAGTGGCAGGCTGCCAGGAGCAGCGGCAAGGCTCCACATCACTATAAAGAAATACACAAAACACATACACAAATTCCTTCTCCCAGCAGCTCACTGGGCTCAGCTTCCCTCCCAGTTCCAGGTACTGGTGTGCGCATCCTGCCTGCGAGCCTGAGCATCCCTTAAACCCCCCTTTTACCACGGTGCTGTGCAAAGCTGGGTTGGTTTAATGCTCTGTTTTAAACAATATTGGCTATTGGGACAAGGCAACCTCTGCTGCTGTGCTTCCCACTGCGCGGTGGTGGGATCGGGGTGGTTCAGAGCAGCACCTTTCCGTGGGTGATGCCGATGGAGAAGGCGCCGGCGTGAAACTGGAGGTCAGAGCCCAGAGCTTATGTCTTAGTCTTTGACTGGGGAGCCTAAATATTTATCCTGTTCTGTCCCTAATGAAAACAAATTGTCAACAGTTGTTCAGTAACTGACTAAATTAAAATCTGTAATTAGTCAATTAGATTAAAGAGTTGGCACAACCTGATTGTATCATGCTGGTTAGGTTATTAAGAGAAAGGGTGTGATTTTTAATTACTGAATGCTAATTTTGACAGATTCAAATGGAAACAGACGTTCCCCCCCTTCTACCCCACCCCAAGTGCCTCTGCAAAAGTAAGGCAGGGGATGGATTTTGTGTCAACAAATGGTGTGAAGATGCAAAGTTTCTCTGGATCCGATCCGGGAGGGGTTTCTCCGGAAAAGCCCGGGGTTGGGACGGGAGGAGAAGGAGGATTTCTTCCGTCCTGCCTGACAATGGGATGGCTTGAGCCACAGTCGGGGACCTCTTGTTCTCGTGGATGTCGGGGTGTGCGTTTGGGTGCTGTGCCATCCCCATCACCCCGCTTGGCGTTCGCAATTCAGCATGCCCTCACCGATGCGCGCCAGCAGGGCAGATCCAAGTCTTATTATCTATAGGTTTTCTGTGTTCTGTTTCTAACCCCCTCCTCGATGGCAGGCCAAGCCTGCAGCAGGGAGGAGGAGGATGATGATGGGGAGGAAGGCCTTGCATGGCGAGCAGCCCGCGCCATCCCATTGTTTGCCCCGGCAGCGCCGCGGCCACGTGGGCCAGCGCGGTGAGGCCGGCGAGGGGACCGCGGCGGGAGCGAACGCCCCTGGCAGATGCTCGGCTGTGGGCGAGCACAAAGCTCGCAGCCCTGCCCTCCCCTGCTTTCTGGGGTCTCTTCCCAGGAACAAAGGGGCTGTGCTGGGCTGGGCTGTACTGGGGCGGGGGGGCTCCCCATGCTGCTGCAGCGGGCAGTGGGGAGGTTCGTTAGGTCAGGACGCCATGTATTGGGTACGAGTGAGGCTTTCCTGTTCTCCTGATCATTTCCTTCCTTACCTTGGAAACTTGGATTTTCTCCTACCTTTTGTTCCCGGTTTTTCTCTTGTAAAGCTGTCCCTAGATCTATTGGAAACAGCTGCTGGAGCGGGGCTCAGGAGCGGGCGGAGGGCTCTGGCTCTGACTCCTCCTTCACCGTGCATGGCCCCATGGCTGAGCTGGCACCACCTAAATGGCACCCGGCTGTGCAAAACCCTTGGTGAAGGGGGGGTGTGTGTGTGCTAGAGAAGAGGTGGGGGACCCACTGCAGCGGCGTTTGGTCCTTATGAGCAAAGGGGATGGCAGGGGGAGAGCAGCGCAGCACCCACAGCAGCTCATGCGCATCCCAACCAGTGCTGGGGTCTGCCCACGGGGACCACAGAGCAGGCTGTATCCCCATGAGCATCACACCGCTGCTTCACCGGCATCCCCCTCGTGGGTCAGGTTTGAAACTCCCACTGAGGCTTCTGATCAACCCACATGTTCCCCCCCCCACACCTTATTTCCCAGCAGCTTTTCCATGAAAGTCCTGACCCTGCAGATTCCCATGGGGAGACCCACCAGGGGCTGTGGGGTGGAAGCAGCACTCTCCTCCATGCTGGCAGGGAGCAAACCCAGCTCTTTGCAAGTAAACAAATACCTTGCCTCTGCCTTGCTTTGGGTTCTGTTGTTTTCTTTTCTTCTCTCACAACTCCTGCTTGTGGCCACAAGTGCCAGGAGCTGAGTTCAAAGCTGCAGCTGAGCAGTCAAGGGGGGGGATTTCCAAAACACAGCAATGCTGATTTTGAATGCTGCTTCCCACATGTGTGCCAGGACACAGCCTCCCCACCGCCACCTCCCTGCTCCCATCCCTGCATCCCATAGGAGTGATACCCATTCCCTGCGCCTGGCTGGAGTAAGAAGGCTGCCTGGGGGTATTTGGGTGAGGTTTGTGCAGCTCCCTTTGGTAAAGGCAGCTTTTCTTTTGTCTCAGGTTTGTGCATTTAAATCATGTAGTTTTTGGAGGAGAAATGCCCAGCCTCCTGCCTGAGTTTAATGCTGCGTGTATGGAGATTGTTAGTATCAGCATTAAGCAATATATATATATATGTGATTATATATGCAGTTATATCCATGCAATATGGAGAATTAAGGTTTACATATGGACGCAGATAGATGTAGGTGCGTGTGCCTGTGTGTTTGGTGTGTGTTTGGGGCAGCATGGCAGAGCAGCGCTTCACACCCAGCCATCAGGTACCCTCCAGCCTGCCTTACTCTTCCTCCTCCATTGCCATCACCACCACAACCAGTGGCTTTTAGCAAGGTGATTTCCACCTCTGTGTCCCCCAGGCTGGGCAGGAGGCTGTGGGGTCCGTCTGTCTGTCTGTGTGTGTGCGAGCAGCGCCGCTGCAGCCTGCCGCCTCGAGATAAAGTCCAAAGGAAGACCTCTGGCTGTGTCTTAAGCTAACATTTTCTTTCCCATTTTTCCCCCCTCCTTAATGTTTCTGCATCAACCCTTGAACATTTGATCTGGTGCCTCTCCTCCTGGGGTGCGGTGGCTTTCTGTAGTGAAAATGAGCTCTCGCCGCCCCTTCTGCTCGCCTCAGACGCGGCTTGGGGTGGGGTTTATTCCCTGGATTTGGGCTGGTTTCTCGCAGTCTTGCAGGGCTGAGTCTGCACCTATAATTGGGATTGTTTAGCTGCAAGGATGCACTGCAGCACCTCTGACTCCCAGCATGGCGTAGGTGCTGGCATCCCATGGCATTCCCAGTGGGCACAGCAGCCCTAAGCCAGTCCCTCCGTCCTGATGTGGGTTTTCTTCTGTGCCCCCTTCCTGCCCCAGCTCCCACACATGCTTCTGCCATCACATCTGGTCCAGCACCGAGTGCCCACCAAGTGGTTGGCCGGCATTCCCTTAGTTCCAGGCTTGCACTGAGGGTTTCCCAACCCTTGGCTTTACTTATCTATTAACTTCTGGCAACCATAAGGAGAAAAATGCCCCTGCATCACCCCCATGTGAGCCAACAGTGCCTGGCTCTCCCTCCAGAGCAGGCACAGAGCTGCTGCCTGCCCCAGGCAGTGCTTTTGCAGCTCAGCATCAGGGCAGGGGAGGAGCTGGGAGCCTGGTTTGTTGGGTTGGTGTGTTTTGCTTTTTATTTAAGTGAAAAAGGTGGTGTATGCTGGGGAAGGGGGCAGGGCGCTTCCTCGAGGCTGGTTTGGGGTGGGCAGATAAGGCTGCAGTGTCTCGTTTGGCTCTGCTCCCCTGCCAAAGCCCAACAGAGCATCCTCCTGCTCTGCCTGGCCCTCACTGGGTGCGTGTCCCCATTTCTGGAGGGAACCCCACTGGGATAAGGGCAGCCTGTGGGGCGCAGGGGCTGCCTGAGCCTCCACATCCCCCTGCCTGGGAGTGGTGCTTGCAGTGAGGAGGATGAGGAGGGAGACGTGCTTCCCTCCTCCTTTCTGCGTCACAGCCGGCCTCCCCCTGCACCACCATCCATCTGCCTGTGGGATGGGGAGGTGAAGAGGGAAGGTTATGGCTGGCGGCAGCAGCCTCATCATCACAGCTGCATCCCTTCTTGTCCCACTCCTGTGTCCCAGTGGCTCAGGGCAGGGTGCCTGTTCTTCCCAAGGAACAGAACGTGGGTTTGCCTGTTGGTGATGGACACCCTTTAGCTGGGTCTTTCTCTTACACAGGAGGTAGGTCTGGTTTTGTAAGACCCTCTTGGGGTCTGGTTTGAGGCAGGGGCAGCCACGCTTTGGAATGCTTGCTCTCATGAGGGGTGCTTTCAGCATGCTGTGTGTGCTTGGGGGGGTATGGCTGGGGATGGAGGTGGGAGCTCACAGGGAAGCAGTCACTGGTCCATATTGCACATGGGCATCTCCAGCCCAGCCCAAGTGCAGTTTTCCATGGAAAAAAACCCAAACCATCCCATTTTGCTTTATCCTGGGCACCGCAGCACCAACAACACCTAGGTGCTTCATGCCTTTGCCAGTCTTCTTTGGAGAGAAGGTCCAGGCTGGAGCACCCAGTGCTTGTTTCATCGGTAACAGCACATTTACTTGCTTGTCCCAGAGCCCTTCAGGGTGTCATGGCACGTCCTGACAGCTTGTCCGTCCTTACCTGCAGTCATCAAGGAGTTTTCAACATGACTTATATAAAGCCTTTGTACTTGGATTGCTCCACCGTGCTGCACAATGGCTTCTTTGTCATCTTGCCAGCTAATTAATTTCAACTTTTACCGCTGCTCCAGCGCCGTGCACCATCCACATGGTCCATTTGGAGCTTCCTCCCCCACCTTAAGTGTTTTCCAAGCAGTTGGACTTGTTGCTGTTGGGCATGGGAGAAACCCACTGGTGCTCATCTCCTAGAGAAGGAGCTGCGCTGGCGCAGGGGCCAGTGAAGAAACAGCCATTAGGAGGCTCAAGTTGTCTCCAGTGGCTTGTTTCTGCTGGCTGGCAGCGAAAGGTCCCCACAGAGAACATCCTCTGATGAAAATAACAGGCTCTTGCTCCTCGGCTGGTGATTGGCACCGAATGCATCTCACAGCTGGAGGTGAAAGCTTTGGCTGCATCTTCAAGACACAACCCCTCATGCTTGGGAACATGCATTCACTGGGACATGGCGATGGTTATTTCTGGAGGGTCAGGCTCTGGTTGGTTGTGTGCTGAAGATAGGTGTTTTTTCCCTTGCATCCTTGCTCTGGGTACCACCACAGCATCCCTGGTGCGGTGGGGAGTTCACCGTTGGTACCCTGGGATGCTCGCGAGGGAGCTGAGCATCTCCTTGGAGAAGGACCAGGAGGGCTGTGACCCCAGCTGCGTGTCCCCAGCCCGGTGGGGTGGGATGGGCCATGGTATTGTTTTTCCCTGGTAAGAGGGATGGAGATGCCACATGCATAAACGTCAGCTGAATTAGCAGTGGTGGGGTTTGTGTGAGCAGTGCTGCAGCAGAGGGGAGGTCCCCTCTGCTTGGGATGGGGACGGTGGCAGGTCAGGGAATATGGAATTGCTGCCTTTGTGTTTAATCTGGTTATAAGGACGGCTATTAGAGATAATGAATTTTGCCTGTCCCTACCGTTGTAATACAAGAACCCAACTGTCTTTCAGCACCGCGAAGGTCACTCCTCTTTATTTCTGGTTGTAAATTTTGCTGGTTACAGATGTTTGGGGTTGATGGACATGGCTAATTAAGTTTCTCCCGCCAGCCACTTGGCAACATGCAGGGGTGCTGGCATGGGGACGAGGTCGGAGGGCAGGACCGGAGCCTGGCAGCAATGCCAGCAGCCCATCTCACCACAGCCCCAGAGCAGGGCTGGGTTTGCACGGGCCCTCACACCTCTCTTTATGATGATTTTGGAGCATGCTGGTGGGAATAAGGCAGCATTGGGAGCAAGTTTCCATCTTTGAGGGGGAATTAAGCAGGAATTGTCACGTGCTGCCCCCACCCTGACCTTAAGAAGGGTAGGAAAAGGGGAGATCCCTTCAACATTTGCCATTGAGCATCCTTTACAGCGGTGCCAGCGGAGGCTTTTTCTCTCCCAAGATCTTAACAAGGGAATGACAGTGTGCTGGGTGGCAGGGCCGATACCCCACACCGAAATACTACCCCAAGGGGATGGGAGCCCCTTTCCCTGCGTCCAGTTTGCTCCCGAGTGTGATGCTAACCCCGCTGGGCAGGAGCCATCCGCGTGCGATGCCCGTGCTCAGGAGGCAGCACGTGCTGCCGTGCCTCCCCCCGCGCGCCTCATTTATGCCGCTCCACATTTTCTCCTCGTTTCCATGCCTTTTTCCCTCCCCTCCCTCCTTGTTTTCTTTTTGTTTTTCCTCATTCCTTCCCCTGGTGCTGCCTGTGCCTCGCCTCGCTCCTTTATTTTCACGATTCCTTATTGCTCGCAGGCCTCTGTTATCCCAGCTATTCGTTGCTCCCTGCTCGTGTGTGTGCAAAATGGGGTTTTATCCTCCCAGAAGAGGTGACCACGGTCCCCATCACTCCCCTGGGATGTGATCACTGCTTGGTGAGGGGTATCGGTGCAGGGTAAAAGCCGTGTATGTATGATGTAGATGCTCCAGGCCCTTGCTTGCAGCAGATCTGGTAGGGTGGCCGCGGGCGCCCATCACCTCCATCCCGACGTGGCTGCCGGGCACAGCGCCGGCCATCTGTCCCCTTCCGTGCGGCGCCGGGCTGCCGGCTGCTCGCCGCAACAGCGGGGCTTGCCCGGCGTCTGCGAGGGGCTTGTGTTTAAAAGGGGGGAGTAAACAGAAAAGTTCCATTTTTGCTTTGTTTGCCCCCATTTCGTATGCATAAACCTCACTTTTTTGTTGCCTTTTCCTTCCCCCCCCCCCGCCGTGTCCCCGCTGCCGTGCCAGGCGCATCCCAAAGTTTGCTGGGGCTCATCCGTGTGCGTGCGTGGATGCCAAATAATTTTATTAGCCTCCTGGAATGGAGCCAGCACGGGAGGTGGCTGCTGGGGCGCCTCTTCTTTTATTTCCCTTGCCCAGCCACCCCCCCTTTGCCTCCGCCAGCCTCCCATGGGCTGCACCATTGGCGTCACCCTTTTATTTTATATGTATTTTTCATGCATTTCTTCTCCTTTTTTCCCCTCTTTATCCCCCCCCCCCCCCCTTTTTTGCTCCCGAAAGGGTTAAAAACGATGGGGAAGTTCAGCTAGCACTTGCAAGATATGGTTGCCTTAGCAACAGGCCTCCTAATCTGGTAGGTGACCTGAGAGACTGTGGAAGATGCAGGGGTTGGTTTGGCATTTCATTATTTCATGAGGCTGCGGCTCTCCAGCTGGTTCCCTTCCCAGCGCCGCCGCCACCGCGGCTGCTCCCCCCTACCAACGCTGCCCCCAGCATTCCTTGGCTAAGCCCCGGGGGGGGGGCAGTGCCACCGTCCCTTCACTGGTCCCCTCCCTGGGTGCTGGTGGGCCCTGGGAGATGGTGCTTGGGAACGGGGAGCAGGCTTCCCCACAGCCTGAGTGGTGGTTGTTCAACTTTGGCGTGGCAAAGGTGGTTTCCTGCCTTGTTTTCCCTCTTCCCAAGGGATTTGCTGTGGTAGCCTGATGAAACAATCCATGTGGCACCCGGGAGCTAGAGGTGCTCTTGTTGGCACTTCCAAACCCCTGATTTTGGGGTCTTTGCAGCTCTTCCAAGGTGAAGCCCAGCAGTAGGGCTCTCAAGCAACAAAGTGATGTGGCACAAATAGGGCAGCAGTGATTGGAAAGCTGGTGGAGATGAGGTGCAGGGGTCCAACCAGTGTTTTGGGGAAGGAGGGCAGTGTTATTCCAGCTGCTTTAGGCTGTTCTGAGCTCACAAAGCCAAACGAACACAACCAGCGTTGTACCCACATACAGATGGACCAGGACTTGGGTGTTTCAGTGCTGCAGCATTGGTCTTCAACTCTTGTTTTCCTCTTGTAAACATCCTCAAGTTGGTGCTTCCCAGCACATTCCCTTTTCCCTTGCTGTCACGACCAAGCATTGGTGAGCACCCACCGGTCCTTGCCAGTGGTGGGGCCATCTGAATTAAGAAACCACATCGGAAAACCTTCCTACCAGTTACTTGATCTCACATAATCCCTGGGTACCGTCAGACAGGTGCTCAGACTCTTCTGCCTGTGCAGTCCCATATGGGATTTGGATGGGTGCTGGCACCCAGTGCAGCCTGCTCCAAACCATCACAGAGCTCTTAGCTGGGATGGCTGACCCGCTCTGTGCCCAAAACTGGGATGATTTCCTCCTCCCTGTTCAATGCCGAGTGGTTTGGGCATGTGGCAAGGAGACCTTGAGGGATGGGAGGTGACCAAGGAGCCATGGCCCATCTCCTTGTGGGTCCCAACAGCATAAAGGGGCCGGGATCGCGCTGGGAGCATCCCATTCCTGCAGATCCCGGCGGTGCAGACCTCTTTTGTTCCCCCCCCGTCCCTCTATTGCACGGTGGCAGCTGCCTGTGGACGCTGGGAAAAGCTGCCTTTGTTTATCCGCCTCTCCGGCAGAGCCAGCGCGGGGATGCTCTTGGATCGAGGTGCCGATCTGTCATCTCCCAGGTTTTATGCATCCCCAGACAAGAAATCAGCGGTGCAAAGCGCAGACTTTTTGTTACTTATCGCCGAGCTCTGTGCAGAGCGTGGCTGCTGAAAGCAATCTGGTGTCTGCGATGCCCAGATTTATGGTTTCCCAGCCTCACTCTAGGTGTTGGCTTCCACCGGGAAGCAAAAAACCTGGATTGAGCCATTGGTGTAGGATGAGAGCGCTGTGGCATCGGACCCAGGCGGGTCCGGTACCCAAGTGGGTGGGTACCCCAGGTGGGACAGCATCTCCCTTGCTCCATCTTAGCTGGTGGAGACAGGAGGACTGATGTCCTAGGGGAGCTGGAACGTGGCTTAGCTTTCGCTCTGGATCTCCTCTGCTCAGGGCATGCTTCTGCAAACCTCCTGCCTGCCCTTCTGGGGTGGCAGAGGCAGAAGCTGCCCCTCAGTAAGCAGTGGATGAGCCATGAAAAGAGAGCAAATCCATGCGAGCCAGCAGAATCCCTAGAAAGCCTTTTTTTGATCACTTCATCCCTTTTCCCCCCCCCATCTCTGCTTTGTGAGGCTTTCCAGGATTTGCCCCTGTTGATGGGGATTTCAGGCAGTCAGCCTGTTCCCTAGGCACAGACACACTGCCCATCAGCCGGCACGCACTGTCCTTCCGCGGAACACGGGGCTGCTGGGTGTCAGGATAATACATGGCTTTTTTTTTTCTGAAGAAAATCAAAATTCCAAGGAAAAATAGGGGAAAAAAAAAGCCGTCTCCCCCCCCGCCTCCGCCCTGCTGAGAAGCTGCTCTGCGATGGCGGCTGGAAAGCGGAGCCGAAAGTGTTGCGCGTGCCATCTGCTCCGCTTGGATCGCGGGAGCGGATGGAGCCGGCGCAGCCTCGCAGGGAAGGAGGGGGGGATACAAGGCTTGATGGGGTCCCCCCGCTCTGTTTTCCTCCCAGCTGCGGGCTCGGTGGTCCTCATATAGCATCCAGTCCTTGAGCCCCAGTCGGAGGTGTCCCATAGACACCTGGGAGGAAGAGGTCTGCAGGTCATTCCTGGGATAAAGGTGGGCATGGGGTGGGATGAGTCATGTGGAAGGGGATAGGCATGTTTTGGGGTGGTTGTTTGGGTGTTTGCAGCTTTGCTGGCTGCCTGAGTTGCAAGCATGTGCTGGCAGATGGGTGTTCTGCAGCGTAGGGTGCATCTCATGGGGACCTCAGGTGATCGCTGACATGAAAGCAGCTCAGAATGGCACATCGGTGCCTTCCAAAGGAGGTATCAAAGGAAAACTTTTCTCCCGAGGAAAGAAAAAACTGAGGCTATCTCCAAATAGAAAGAAAAGTGTTTACTTGGGATTGCAGTGGGATCACCTCTGGGCTCCCGCGCAGGTTCCTCCACATCCGGGCTTCTGCTGACTCTTTGGCTGGGGCAGTCAGAGCAGCTCGGTTTCGTGGAGTAGTTTGGATTGGAAGAGGCCCTCAAAGGTCCTTCTGCTTTACCTGCTTATCACAAAACTGGAGGTTTCTGAGACCTCCCAGTGGGTCAAGCCAGCAGATGCAGATGTGAGGTGCAGAGGGAGCCTGGGCTTGCTCGCTCTGAAGGCAGCAGTGATTGCTGCCTGTCCTGGCAGCTGCGCTGGGGGCTCTGGATGGTTGGGTTGTTCTTTATGGGCTTGTCAAGAGACAAACATCCCTGAAAGTTCTTCCCTGTGAGGGTGCTGAGGCACTGGCACAGGGTGCCCTGAGAAGCTGTGGCTGCCCCATCCCTGGCAGTGCTCAAGGCCAGGTTGGACACAGGGGCTTGGAGCAAGCTGCTCTAGCGGAAGGTGTCCCTGCCCATGGCAGGGGTTGGAACTGGATGAGCTTTAAGGTCCCTTCCAACCCAAACCAGTCTGGGATCCTATGAAAATGTGGGAACCCAACCTGGGAGATCAGCTCTGGCTGCAAGCGCAGCAGTTGCGCAGCCTTGAATTCCCCTTTGGCTTCTCTCCACCACCAGTGTGTTTGCTCTGTGTGTGTAATATGTTCCTTTATGTTAGCGAAGGAGTGCAGAGGTAGGAGACTCGGAGCGGGAGCCTGGTGCTTCCCC